ATTGAACAGGCGGGGATAAAAAGGCGTGATGTTATGTTATATGTAAGTAAGATTTCATTTATGGCTTGTACACAAACTGCGATGCGACGTCACATCGCAAAAGTGTGCGAGCTCCCTCTACGCATCGCAAGAACTTGCGAATTGATTCGCATCGCGCATCAAAATCTTATTTTCCCAAAATCTTCGTTTCTTTTTCCTGTATCTCCTTAGCAACAACAGAAGTGCACACTTCTTTTTACGATCCATGTCACGACCTAGTTTCAATTTAAAATACGTTTAGTACGGTTGACTGTCGTCGAAGGTATGGTCACCCTGGGAGACGCCTTGTCGCACGAAATCACATCGCATCGCAGTTTTGTGTACGAGCCTTCAAATAAGATTAAAACTCCTTAAAATAAAACGTTTTTAAAGGCAATGGATGTCTTGAGTTGTGTGAAAATAATGGAACAGTGTAGAAGAGGGGAGAGTGTGTATTTCAAGTGAGGCAGCCATGCTTCGGCACTGCAGAGCCGGCTCGACCGGAGTGATACCACCAACGACCAGAAAACCATAGTGAAACAACACTTGAGTTGTGTTTCGTCGTGTAAGTTACCGAAGGCCCCACTACCCCGCTTCTCAATCTCCCCAATCGCTGAATTTCCAAAAGATTCACCTCAAATTCTTAGTCCTTAAAAGGCCAGTAACGCATTTGTCCATGGTCGACACCGATTGCTTACCATCAGGAGATCCGTCTGCTCGTATATCGGCTTATGCCATAAAAACAAACAACAATTAAACTGTCAAACACCAAGCGGTCACCGGTGACCGCAACCTATTGTTCTATAATTGTGTCTATATTGACGGTACTCGATGAGTTAAATGGATTGGGCTTCCATAACTCACTTATAGGCGTCCATCATCAATAATTTCAGTTCTATTTTATGTGGGTAACACATAACTAACAACTGAAGTAAGAAAGTGTCTATAAAACTGTGTCACGTAAGCAGAGTGTCATGTTATCTCAAAATGCATTCTATTCCGGTGTCACTTAAGTCCAGTTTCAGTTTTCACAATGCATACTTATTTCGACATTTGCAATTTGGATACGATATAGTGGTACCACGTAGGAGGTACGCAATAAGATATTCATTGCTCGTTTAGTCGGTAGAAGTTAAGAACAGTATTAGTATTGCACCAATTAATGGTCATTTGGCAGGCATTTTGTAACACAAGGCATCATGTAACTCTTCTATTTTGGACTAATAAGGATATTTATTCGGATCTTTATCTAATACGGTAGTTGGCAGGTAGTCACATTCAATACTTTTATTACCATTGACAGTGGGCGAGCCGTAGACTCCGCCGGGCCACTCGGTGGTGACGGTGTACTGGTGGTGTCTGTACTCCGCCTTACGGTACAGGACCACTGATGTGCCTTTTGGTGCAAACCCGTACTGTAAATTAAAAGAGTAGGATGTTTTTAAATCGTGTAGCATTAAAACACTGAGTTCTAGGTGAGCGTCGTTTAAATAGCTCATGATTAAAGACCCCGGTGTAACTCGAAACCGGTCGGGTATTCTCAATATAGTACGAGAGACATAGTACATTTTCATAGAAAAGTAGCTTATTCTTTTTTTAAACATTATTATTAAAGCAACAAGACTTACTTTATGCGTATCAGCAGACATACTAGAGACTCCGGGCAGACGGAAATCGAAGACGGGTATATTATGCCCGGCGTCAGGCATGAAGGCGGCCACAAAGCCTCCGAGGCAGGCGTCCACGTGGAGTGGAACGTCGTTCTCGATTGCGATATTTGACAGGGCAATGATGTCATCCATTGTGCCGTAGGGGTAGTTCGGAGCCGAGCCTACGATCTGAAAAAGAAAAATACTTCCTATCTTTTCCATTTCTTTTTAAAAACGTTACCCTATACTAGAAAGTGTACGTACGGCGCATCGCATTCTGCGCGCGCCTCAAAGAGCCATCAGACCACCACAGATGGGGCTCAATGGGGCCGATGCCGATTCGGAGCCGCGGAGAACCTAACGGATAACCGGGGCTCCGGCTCGATGTGCAGGAGGAGGAACGGGGTGGTTTTTAGTCAGTAAGAGTCTGACACTCCCTCCCGCCCCACCCAGGCGGGAGCAGTTATTCGATGATTTTCCCCCCTTAAAAAAAAAATACTAGAAAGTGTCTAAAGCTGCTTATGTTTAAACTGTCCAGGCCCATTATATCGTCCATTTTTAGAATTCTCAATAATAGCACCTGGACTTGAATTACATAACATCACGCCTTTTATCCCCGAAGGGGTAGGTGTAGGATAGGCAGAGGTGCACATTATGCCACTGTACAATGTAACACCCACTATTCACTATTTATGTTAAGAGTCCCATGTACTAGGGGGTGAGTCTATTGCCATATACCGAGCACAATTCCAGATTCCGTGAAACTACTGAGATTTTTTTTAAAACTCAGTAGTACTTTGTCCGACCCGGAAAACGAACCCGAGACCCATTGCCCGGCGATAGCACTTGCGACCACTCAGCCAACGAGGCAGTCTGGACTGGAATTATGCCCGGTGTTATTGTAATAAACTTATCCAGTATTACACTCACAACAAAACTAGTGATAAGTTCCATGTCGCCTATGCTACTAAAAACCACTATAAACTGATCGTCGACTACGCGGAAATCCTTACTATCCTTACTATCTACATAAATAAAAATCAATTTCCGTTCGTTAGTCTCGCTAAAACTCGAGAACGGCTGAACCGATTTGGCTAATTTTGGTCTTGAAATGTTCGTGGAAGTCCAGGGAAGGTTTAAAAGGTGAGAAAAAACATTAATAGGCGGTACGAAGTTTGCCGGGCCAGCTAGTAATATTATAAATTGGAAAGTGAGTTTGTTTGTTTGTTTGTTCCACTTTCACGCCGTAACTACTAAACCGATTGCTTTGAATTTTTGCAGACGTAAAGTTAAAAGTCTAGATTAAATAATAGGGTACTTTTTATCCCGGAAAAATTTGATATTCCCGAGGGAAAACAAAAGTATTGGTATAGATGGCGCTGTGTTTATTGGTATATATGCTACTTTTTATCCTTTTGTGACGCGAGCGAAGCCGCGGGTAAAAGCTAGTACCATATAAAGCGAGAACGTGGTGAACTTGTTTACTATTTTTTTTTTTTTTATATTTAATGGGCCGACGTTTCCCCCTATCTCTCCTGATAAATAGCAATGATGCGATCTACGATGGAGCACGTCGACCCATAAGCATCCTATTCACTCGGGCGTTGAACATACCCTTCATTAAATGCCAGACTCTGGCAAAGAATTCCACTCACACAAGGAAGCTTGCATTGTATATTCATTATCATATTTTTCGGCATACTCACGTAATTATTCGTTATGGTTTTGTTGTGTTAGTTTGATGTCGTATTTCTACGCTTTCGAGAATCAAAAAATCCGTAATTGACTATAACTTACCAAACAAGTCCGTCTACTAATAGCCTTCTTAACCTTCTCAATATCAACAGTCATGGTCTCTGGGTTCACTGGTACCGTCTTCACAGATAGTCCTAAGTACTGAGCCGCCTTGTCGAAGGCTGTATGTACGGTGGATGGTACTACGATTTGTGGGTTGCTGATACCCTTACTGTATGCAAGGTCCCTGAATGCTTTACAGGCCATTATTATAGATTCTGTGCCGCCTGTTGTCACCTGAAAATGGGAATTGAAAATGTTAAAATAGAAATAAGTTTCATAAATAACACACGTGGGAAAAAATTATAAGCATTAAAAAAACAATTCAAATCAATGTCAAAGTCAAAGCATTTACGTCAACAAATGCAAAATAAATAATAGTCTGTCAGTCTGTCCGTCAGTGAAGCTAGGTGCTCATTTCAAAATGTAGATTCAAATGGAGAAGAACGAGCAAGAAACTCCATTCATTACTCTTTTAGCAGCTGTAGCCAAATGCCATATAACGCTTGTCTACATGTAGAATAGAAAACCAAATTATATGGGATTGACGTAAATATTGACACTTATCAGTGTCATCCACATGCATTTGAAGATTTCACCAAAAAAATTATGACGACACTAAATGAATGGAAAATGGATTTCGGGCAAGATATTTCACAAATAAATAATACGTTAAAAAACCTTAATGAAAGTACACAGGAAATGAAAGCAGAAGTTACCAGTATCAGAAACGAATTTTCGGAATTGAAGAAGACTGTTCGCAGGTTGGAAAGCAGACAAACTGAGGTGGAGGGGATATCACGTCACTTAAAAAGTCAATGCAACATCACAGTGACGAACATGACGATGTAGCAAAGAAACTTGAAATTCAAAATAAAGAAATTAAAGTTCTATATCAACTGAAAAAAGAGCTGGAAGAAGTTAAGGTGCAGAACAGAAAATTACGAACTGATGTCAATGCAAGTCAACAAAGGGATAGGCTACTCAATATAGAAATCGTTGGTATTCCTGAACGGGACAATGAAAACTTAAATGAAATTATACTAAAGATTGGTAAAAGCACTGAAATTGACATAAGAAATGATGATGTCCTTCAAGTAAACAGAGTGACAGCAAAGCTTAAGGTTCAGGGTAGGCCAAGAAATATCGTAGCAAAACTGCGAACGCGCCAGCTTAAGGACAACGTTATTTCTCAAGCTCGTAAGCGCCGTTTGTCAACAAAAGATCTGGATATTCAAGGCAGCATAATCCCGGTTTATATAAATGAGCATCTAACCCTGTACAACAAGAATCTTTTAAAAATGGCCAAAGAAATAGCCGCATGGTAAACACAAATTAAGTTAAGCAGGGAAACCTATTATTAGCCTTACTAAACTGTAATATCTTTATTTTGTATTATATCATATGTATCGCTGTTGGTTTTCTAAATAAATAAAATAAAATAAAATAAAATAAATAAAAATTTTGATTTCTACTCTCTCTGTAGACAAGCGCTTAGTGGCGTTTGGCTACAGCTGCTGTTCTTAATAATTTCACAATATTTCTTAATCATTTTATTTCTTTATAAAATCATTGTATTACCGAGACAGAACTATTTTACTTCGGAACGAAAACGATATAGATTTCACGGTGTATGGCGGTGTATAACATACTTCTTGAGCATTCATACTTACTATCAACATCTAGCTAATTTACATTTTTTAATACCTTTTTACAACAAGTTTATAGTATTGTTAGTGAAACATTATCTTTGTTATCTGCTCGGATAATTATAATTTGTTTACAAGGTCACTTGTGAAATATTTCAGTACTTTGTTACCTAGTAATTTGGTGATCACATGGATTTTTTTGTTTGAGCTAGACCAAAGTCCATTTACCTAGTATAATTGTATTATATTAGTATAGTGGTCAAAAAGACTGCTGATCTCATAGCGTGTTCCTGCTGATCGATGAAAGTATTTATAGATTTTTCGTTTCCAAAATTCTGAATAGTACCTTGACCGAAATTGTCAGGAAACCTGGTAACAACTTCCTGTTCCAGAGTTATCACTATTTTTTATATGATAGTAAACAATCGGCGTCGCCCATGGGCACCTGGAACACCAGAGGCGTTACAAGTGCGTTACCGGCCTTTTGGGGAACAGGAGTTTGAGGATCGTTAAGGATTCAAGGATTTGAGAGATTGGGGAAGGGGAGGGGGGTAATTGGGACTCCGATAACCTAACTAACGCGACGAAACAACGCAAGCGTTGCTTCAGGTCGGTCTTTTATGAGGCCGTGGTATCACCGCCGTGGCCCATTCGTGCCGAAGCATGGCTCTCCCACACTTAACTAGCATATGTGCCTGGTGCCCGTTTGCAATCAATGTCTATTACAATAACCACGCGTTGCAAGTGGGTTGAAGATCGTAATTCAAAGGACTTATCAAAAAACACCGCTGTCAGTCTTATATCCAATTTTCATTCATATTGCGAAAAGGTCGACAGTACTACCAACTACTTATGATACTATGATACAATCATCAGTATCAATCATTGTAAAAATAATTACGCTGCTCATTAATTAGCATTTTATTATATACCTGCATATATCACTTAGTAAGCCTTTTACAAAATAGATTCAAAGTCGGTTCACGGTCAAATGATAGCTACAAAGCAATTTTGTAACACTTCGCTTTTTTTTACAAAGTGATTCGAGGGTCGTACAATTTTGTTACGCTGAGATTAAATTCGAAGCCCTCTCGAACTTAAACTAGTCATCTAGTTCTTTGCCTGTTATACTAGACAGGATCAGCTTTCTTTATCAAACGGCGCTGTGCCTATAGTCAAACTTGCAAAGATATTCTCCACAACCCAAAACGAACAGTTAGATTCACTAAATGACCATCTAGACTTCTTTTAACTTAACTTATGAAAAATGATCCGATTCCGAATATTTTTATGCCCCACACTAGGATTTCTCCTATGTTGTAATTACATTAACAAACATACAAATAAATATTCAAATCCGAACAAATGATGATCTCTAAATAAACATCACTCACCGTACCACAGCAGTCTTCGTCTCCGTGGAACAGGTTGATGGCCATCCTGACTATTTCAGCTTCCATCTTGTTGATGCCGGGGAACACGTCAGCGTGTAGAGGGTTCGTATATGCAGTGAGGCTGTAGGCATCACACGCCACTTTACTGATCTCTTTGCTTACGTGGTACACTGCGCCTGATACGCTACCCCCTTGCCAGTCGTAGGCACCTAGGAATAACATTTCAAGGTTAAAGTGTGTTGGAGAATTATTTGGCAATAAAAATGAAAGATTGTCCTAATTTTCAAGCGTGGCAGATGATTTGTACCTAATTCAAATTCAAATTCTTTATTGCGGCCTACTTACAACAACGTCGGCCTATAAGATATAAAAAATTCTTTCAAGCAAGAGTGTGCTTGTGGTAGGCGGTCCTTCTTTGCTAGTGACATGAACTAGACATATGAGATCGCAGCTTTAGGTTTTATCAGAGAGCGCTGGTCTGGTATGATACCCAGTCTCTACTAAATATGCAGTCGCTTAGTTGGGCTTACGACACAAGCAAAAAACGTAGGGAATGCTAAAAATTATAAGAAGAAGAATACTCATATTATATCGTCAGCGCATACAATTCTTTAGTCCTTGACCTTGTCGCTTGACCTCTCTGTACTTGTATCGGATGACCGTGTCATCCGACTAACCAATTTGTATACATTAGGTACATGTGCACTACAGTACCTAGGCACTACTGCGCAGTTATCGAGTCTATTTACTATTTAGGTCAACTGCCGGGGATGGAATAACAAGGCTAAAAATTTCTTCCTGGATTAGAAATGGGTTCGTGGCAAATCTCGCAACATCTCTCCAAGAGGAACAGGGAGTCAAAAATCGCCAAAGTAGACTCATGTAGGTAACTCCTTTGTCTCTTTTTTAGTATAAACTAGATTTATAGAATAGATAAACACAGAAACTGATTAGATATACTAAAAAATACCTATGAATACGACAATGCCTCTTACCTAGCGCCACATGGTCCCTGACTTCCTCCATCACCTGTTCGGAGTCCAGTCCATGCTCTGGCAGTTCTCTCCTGACTGTCACACCAGCTAACCTCTTGGCCACATCCTTTCGGAAGTCACTGTTGATTTCTGCCATCTTCTCCTCAATTTTCCTCCTGACTATCGGCACCTGACGAAGCCATCTGAAGAATTCCTTGCGAAGACGCGTTGTGACACCTAGATAAAGGAAAATGGAAATATCTTTAAAATTATCTGACTGGCTTATTGGCCACTCGACCACACGGTCGCAAGTGCAATTGTCGAGCTAGGGGTCTCGGACACGATTCCCGACTGGGGCAAAGTGCAAGAGCGTGGGTCTCGGTTATAATTCCGAGCTTGGGCAGCTTTTTATCGGATTTTTGAAAATTCTTAGTACTACTAAGAATTTTCACGGAGTCTGAACTTGTCTCCGGTATATGTATGGAAAACTGACTATAGCCTCACCCCTGTTACATTAATAACATACCTGGTGAAAGGTGGGTTACATATACATAGTGTACAATATACATAGTGTACAATATACATAGTGTACAATATACATAGTGTACAAGTCAAGCATATAGTGTGGCATTCTGCCCCTTTGGGGACAAAAGGCAGGACGGTATAGAAAGAAATATCATAGTATGGCCAGCCCTCTCATTATCATCACATAACTACCTACTATGATGATGTGGATAACTTACTTTCTTTGGCATTGTACAAGCTATGTGCCCACACAATGGCGAGCACTGAGGATGCAGTCATCGTGACTATCTGCCATGGCTCTTTGCCCTCAAAGAGCTTGTTGACGGCCTTCAGAGGCTGTGGTCGCTCACTCATGGCTGCAAAATACAAACATGTTAACTATATCACACTGACTTCTATTTATTAGGACTGGGGTATATTCGAAAACTTATTTTGTTTTAACCTTGGCAGAATATTATTCAGTTAATCGACGGTAATGTCAATGCAGTGGCTGGTCCATTTGCTATTCCAGAACATGAAATGACTGAAATTATTAGAGTTATTTTCCATACATGCACCTCAGTGCTTAGTACAAGGGTTCATTATACTTTTGATCTATACATTACACTAACAATTATGAAGTAAGACTTGTCTTAGTTAATCCTTTGTCTTTAGTGAGTCATTAGTTAGTGATGATAATTAGTTGTCCAAGTACCTACATATACTTTAAAGAACATTCATTTGTACAGAAACAGGTCAACTAGTTTTATTTTTTATTATAAGTACTAGCTTTTACCCACGCGGCTTCGCTCGTGCCACAAAAGGATAAAAAATAGCCTATGTGACAGTTGTAACTCTTTTTATTTATTTAACCAGATTATTAACTCGTCGAGTACCGGTTTTGCAGACACAATTATAGAACAATAGGTTGCGGTCACCGGTGACCGCTTGGTGTTTGACAGTTTAAATAATGATTATTATGTTTGTAATTGTTATCAAAGAATATAATATACTAAGTTAAATAAAACTTTGTTATCTATATTACTAAACTCTGCTGCAATTTGTACAACTTGATAGCTTGATTTTGAAATTACTACCTGATTATGTTTATTGATCATGCCCAATGAATTAATATATCAATAATGAGTAAGGAAACTTCTAACAGAAATACATGATGTATTCTAACAAGACTGTAAAAGAAGTGTGATAAGTCTTATTAGATGGGTCTTGAGATAAAACAATGAGATATCTGATAAAATCCTAATGTAGCAAATAAAAGGATTAAGAAGCTAAACAACGCATCTAACATGTGTGTTCTAGCTTAATTTAATAGACAGGGGTGGAATAAAATGCCAAAAATTACAAATTATAATATTCAGCAAAATATTATTATCTAATCTATATTTAAAAAAAAAAAAACAAAAAAATTAAAGAACAAAGTTCATTCTTCACAGTGGAAGTACATGAACCTAATAAAAAATATAAAAAACCTTGTTTGTCTCATTTGCGTCAGTCTGTACACAAAGGCTGAATTAATTAAACATGTACACAAACTAGAACAATAGAATCTTTATTATTATATCAATATTGCAAGATACATAGGAACAAAGTAAAACGCCGGTAAATATTAAATTCCTTCGTAACACACAAATGTTATTATTAATTTTGTAAATAACAATAAGTAATATAAAATATTTATATAATTTTTATCTTTAACTCACCTGACACAGCTGTGTAGAACCCAACACAGTATTTTCTAACAGTTTATCAAATTACAAGAGGCGAGCTCAATCAATTTTGACAATTTGTAATCACAGTAATACACACTGATAACGATTACTCAACACGGATTATTAGTCGTCAACTCGTCAATACGATAACATTTAATTACACAGATTAATTGTTTCTATTGCAATATCCAAATTAAAATTAGTATTTGAACAATATTATTAGAATTTAAAATCGATTTTATCAAATACTTACAATGAATAGGCTAAAAAATATAATGTTTTTTGTCGACTATATAATCGACTAAAAGTTATTGTAATGGCATTGTCGACATTATTTAATTTTACGAAAGCATGGGCTTTATTGGTATATAGTGGTAACTGGATTAGTCGCATAGTTTGCATGGTACTTTACACAAATCTGATATTCTACATATCCTCGGTACAAGAGAAACTTGATATGGTAATCCATAATGAATGAAACTAATATAGTCAACCAAGATTCAATTATTAATTTGAACAGGAATTATTATCGAATATTAATATATACGACATAAAATATGAATAATTTAAAACTAAATATTTACACCTTAAAAAAAATTAATAAAAATATATTATAAGGCATCAAAGAAAACATTTTCCTCAGTACCGTGAGGTAGATTGCCCAAAAGACTGGCAGCATTGCCACGTTGAATGGCAATGCTTAACCTTTGCCCAAGGTAGTTGCCAGCCCTTCGATCACCTGAAGTGTCAACCATCCTCCTTACAATATCTTTGTAAAGATGTGCACTTGGGCCCGACGGCCCTAAAGTTTCAACCCCAAACGGTTCGAAAGCATAATTGCCAATCAGGCTATTATACTTTCTCCGTTTGAGGTTCTCAGCAGCAGCAGCGGCAGCACCAGCTCGACACGCTGAGCTTGGAAGATGGGATGGCGCCAGAGTATCAACGCAAGTGGCGTCCCATACTAAATACTAAAGCCCTACCCATCTTCCAAGGGAATAATGACATACCGTCGGGTATCTTGCCATCGTCGCGTACCAAGCCATTAGGTTCTAAAGTAGCTGGCACGCCAACGGAGGCAAGGGCTCGACGAATTATGTCATTAATACTTGCGTGTCGAGCAAAACGGCCCGCACTCGGTAGTGCCTACAGCCTTGGACACCACGGCTTGTCATGTAGCCGTCTACATGACAAGCCGTGGTGTCCAAGGCTGTTAACATATCTTCACCGCAACGACAAATCATCATCGGCTATTCCGTCAATTTATCCAAATGCTAAGTAATAAGCTTTACCACTTTCCCATTAGCATGTCGCTGCGCTTGATATTCCTCAACTCGACTACTAATATCAGTAATCGACTTTAAATATCAGTAATAGAAGTCCCGCACTCACTATTGTAGACAGCTTGAATTTGACAGATCTGTGACAGATAGTTCAGTTGCGTTCCAGTGTCACTAGATATAATTTAAAATATATTATCATACATAAATTTCAATCGTGTGAACAATAATAGGACCAAAAATCAACGAAATTTATTAATTAAATGCAACAATATTTATAACAGATCTATATATTATTTAATAATGACTTTTCTCTGTCGGTATCATAAACAACAAAAAATAAAATAAAACCCATGTTTAACATGTACCAAAACGTATCTGGAACGCGCCTTGAGTAGACCAAGAAAACAGCTGTTGATATTATGAGTCATCAACCTCCAGTTTCCTGTATTCCAAACACAGGCAAAATGTCGAAAGCTAAAAAAGTTATTGAAGAAGCGAAGGAAAATAACAATCCTGAAATAGATTTGGTTGATAAAGGACTCTCTAGTTTGGACGAGATACCTGGCTTGTGTAAGTTAATTGCTTTAAACCTGTTTACCCTTAAAAGGGCGTAGTGTAACCTGTTTGTATGAAACTTGTTTGTGCTTTGGGTGTATTGCATACAGTACTTGTTATTTATAGGCATTCCGTATGTATATAAACTTGCGTTTTTCTTTTATATCTGTTTGTAAAAATTGTAAATAACCACCCAAATGCTTGCAATCTGAGCAAGACATGTTCAAGGTTTCATTAAAAATGATTCTGGAACCGATTTATAGATTTTTATTAGTTAATCTAGTTTGAGATTTCGCCCACAGATATTAAGATTACAATTTTAGCAGCTTTTAAATCATTGTATCTGTATTTTTAGTAGATAAAATATTATTTTATTGCTTTTAAGAACTGAGTTAATTATAACCCATGACATCATGCAATTGATCATACATAGTGGTGTTTTGTAAGGTATTTCCTTCCCTATTTTTCCATAACTTCCTTCTGGGATGTATTATTAATTACTAGAAACTGAGAATAACATTATCATGTATTATTATGTACTATTTAATAAAAACTTAAGGACTCAATCATTAATTAATAATCGATTTATTTCCTAACAGTCAATCTCGCCAACATAACTCGCCTCTCCGTAAGCCACAACAAGATCCAAATAGTTCCGGCTGCTCTTGCAAACCTTGCAAACTTGGAAATCCTGAATCTTGCCAACAACTACATCACTGAACTTCCTGTCAGTCTATCTTCCCTGCCAAAGCTCCGTATTCTCAATGTATCTCTTAACAGACTCAATGGGTTACCGAGAGGGTTTGGTTCATTCCCTGTTCTGGAAATCCTGGACCTGACATACAATAATCTAAATGAGAAGAATCTACCTGGAAATTTCTTTATCATGGGTTAGTATTGTTTTTATGTAATTATAATAGTTGCAAGTTCATTAACATACTTTCGAAATTTTACTGGTCAGAAATCTAATCACCAGACCTTCTTCTGACGGGTGAAACAGCAGTCATTGATATACCTAATATAGACAGCAATCAGTGTACAAATATAAAGTACCAATTCTTTTTTTTATTAAACTAAATTTTTAGCACAAAATAATACATTTCTAATTTTTGTAATTGTACATTTTAGATAGTCTCCGTGCATTGTACCTCGGTGATAATGACTTTGAGTACTTGCCTGCTGAAATTGGTAACTTGAAGAACTTACAAATTGTAAGTATCCTTTATTGAACAAAATTTTTGTCGATAAGGAAAAACAACTAATATCATTCAAATTAATTGTATAAGGAAAATTATTTTATTAAAAGTCTAACACCAGCAATTTTTATGATCGTCAATATCATAGGATATCTGTGAATGACCTTTTTTGTTCTCATTATTCAGCTATCAATGCGCGAAAACGATTTGATTGAAGTGCCTCGCGAGCTCGGTCAGCTGGCTCGCTTAAGGGAATTGCATCTACAAGGCAACAGGCTTGTTGTGTTACCACCTGAAATTGGTAAGATTATAACTGAATTTACATATTTTCAGTGCTTACATACTAATAACTTGTTTGCTACAAAAAAAGAATGATAAATCTAATTTTACATATTTCCACTTGTTACTCCATTTTTATATTATTTCCAAAAATTTAATTTCACTTAATTTAACTTCTAGCATTGAAATTTATTAAGATTTAAGAAACATTTAGCATTTAACTTTAATTTCTAGCTTAATTTGAACACCCAATCTAGAATTTTGTGCTCAGCCTACATGATTATTTTTATACAAAAAAAAATTCCGCATTTACTTGATCAATAATAAAATTGATCTAGTTTATAAACATGGCCAAACTTTTATATATCAGGTTCTCTCGACTTGGCCAGCAACAAGTCAGTGTTGCGTTTAGAAGGCAACTTCTGGGTGCCACACATTGAGGACCAGCTCAAGTTGGGACCCTCACACGTGCTCGATTATCTGCGCTCTGAGACCTACAAAGTGTAAGTAGAATATTAATATTGCATTTGAAAAATTGGAAATGTTATCCAAAATCTTCATAATGGAGTCAAAATATGAAATTGCTTGATCTCTTATAATTATTTATCAATACAAATCAGAATATTCTTCATATAGATATGTTTTAGTATTTATAATTAAGGCTATCAACACGAACTTGTGTTCCAAATCCAAATATTGGTGAATCTGTCTATGTACAAGCGCCAACATAATCATCTTGATAAAATGATCAATAATTGGGGCCTTAATCAAAAATAAATTATTTCGTCTGTTCAATACAATAAAATATTAAAAAATAATCACACTTTCATTAGGTACTTAATTGATTTTATGACCAACTTACCTCTAATTTTACAATTTTTTCAACAAATTTACAACAAATAAGTAGGTATGCTGTATGACGCTATAAAATGGTACCTAGACACAATCTCATACAAAATTCATAGAAAACTGTCGTTTTTAACATTCGAAAAAAGTATTAAATTTGAGTAGTTGGCAAGTACCCTAGAGTTGAAAAGTAGCTGTGTACCTGATTTCATTTGTTTATTCTATTTTTCCCCTCAGCTTATACAGTCGGCACATGTCAGCAAAACCGGCCCCTCCGCCCCAGACGCTGGATAAGAGCAAGAAAGCTAGCAGAGCTGCCTAGCTTCGCTAACTATTTTTGTTAAGAGTGATCTTCTGATTAATACTAAATAATAATAATTAATTCATGTGTGATGTTTGGCTCTCAACAAATGCGTGTATGACATGAAAGGTATCGACGAATTCAGGCATTTGCTTATGAATATAATAAGAAGTATTTAACTGTGTCTTTATGCCAGTCATCTGGCATAAAATATATTGATTGACAAAAGTATTTAAAATCTATTACTCTCTCACTCTCTTACTATTATTTTATGGCATGTTTATAAAATCATAAGTAATGTGCATTGATTTCTTAATATAATAGAATGAACAAAATTGTTACTGAAATCTCAAATATTGTCTATTGTAACTGCCATTAGTTTTACATAGAATAAAGTACTACAAAGTGCACTTACAATCTTACATAGATACATTTATATTATTCTACACTAATTATGGTGCTAATTTATTAATTTTGTACGTTGTGATTGTAATAAGTATTGAAATAAATTATTCACTAACTATGTCTTACTTTTATTTTTTGTCATCTTAAAAGTAGGAAACTACCTGAGCGAACGACTCGTAGCGTTCCACACGCGCTTTAAAGAGCCATCAGACCACCACAGATGGGGCCCAATAGGGCTGATGCCGATACGGAGCCGCGGAGAACGTAATCGGTTACCGGGGCTCCGGCTCGAATTGCAGGAGTAGGAACGGGGTGGTTTTTAGACAGTATGAATCTGGCACTCCCTCCCAGGCGGAACAAGCCATTCGATGATTTTTCCCTCTTAAAAAAAAAATAGGAAACTAAAATATGGTAAATGAAACAAATGAAAATAATAAATTATTAAGTTATTTATTACAAAATATTAGCATATTAAACGTATCAAAATCATTTGTATTAATGGAAGGAATTGGCAATGCTTTGATTTGTACATATTTTAGTATGGCATAGAGCAATGTAAAACAGACTTTTTTTAAAAAGAGTAACGAATGGAGTTTCTTGCTCGTTCTTCTCCACTCGAATCGACATTTTGGAACGAGCGCCTAGCTTCACTGACGGACAGACTGACAGACTATTATATTATATCTCATATTTGTTGACGTTTCAAAAGTACCAAATTATGGTCTAATTGAAATAAATGCTTTTGAGTTTGAGTTTGAGTATAGAAAGACGAGACAAGCTGCCCTTGAATTTTCTTTCAAACGCCAATGTCAAAAACATGGTAATTTATCTGTTAGCTTATACCAATTGGCATATTGGACACTTATGCATTTGTTGGATATAGCCGACCATGGCGTACATAATCAATTACAATTCAAATATATTAAATATTCAGACTAGATCAAAATAGAATAAAAGAAAATCAGATAATTTTACAAGACTAACCAAAAAATAACTTCCTTTTGTTGAACGAAAATGAAATGTTAACGAAGTTGAATTACAATTTACAAGTCAAGAAAGTAAGCTATTGCCAAACAAAAGAGGCAAAAATTTAAATAATAAGCTAAGTAAGCAATGTAAACAAAAATATTTAATTATTATGTTTTCGGCTTACTCACATACCTAACTGTTAGACGAGGAACCGGACTAGTGCTAGAAGCTCATATTCATGAGCACCATCCCGCGAACCACGACGCGGTGACTGTCGCGCTGCTACTTACGTAAGCCGTAAACATAATAATTATGTTTCGCGAAAGTTTTATATATAATGAAAAATATAAGTTACACAAAATAGACTATTCAATATTCGTAAATAATAGAGATCACTTCTCGAAAATTATTCTACTTAGTACATTTTAATGGTGTAAAGCAAACAAGTGCGCGCGTATTACATTAAAAGATTGTGTACAAGATTGTTATAATAACATAAACATGTGGATGTGTAGACAATCAATAAATGTGTTGTGAAATAATCCTTAAAAAGTTACACACTCTAATAATGAGATTAATTAATAAATGAAAACTATTTTCAACATTATTTTCGTCAATGACATAACAAGTCTAACAAAGCGATGGAATAACCCCAATTATTATAGAAAAGACAAGCATTTTATAAATTTTTCTTATGGGATAAGCCGGTATACGAGCAGACGGATCACCTGATGGTAAGCAATCGGCGTCGCCCATGCATACCCGGAACACCAGAAGTGTTACAAGTGCGTTACCGGCCTTTTGGGGATTAGGAATCGGAGGATTCGGGAATTTGGAGGGGGGGTGGGGTGTTGAGCTTCCGGTAACGTCATTCACACGACGAAACACACAATGCAAGCTTTGTTTTACGTCGATCTCGTGTGAGGCCGTGGTAGCACTCCGGTCGAACCAGTACTCGTGATAACTCGTGCCCAAACATGGCTCTATCACACTTGAACTCCTATCTTTTTAAAGAGTTGCGCATTGCTATGGTACTCCACTGATTAGTGTTCAATTCATAAATTCTGTTCATTAACTCACAATTCAAAAAGCCAGAAGGAGATTTATTGTAACTAGAGTACTTGATTTAAATATCATTGAAAATCATATATTTTGATAAAGATGGCTTTTAAAAATGTTAATGTAAACTACAGCTGTAATTGACTAAGCTTTTTTTTAAGCCAAGGATACACTAAAGCCCGGTTTCCACCGCGAGCGGAACGAACCCATTAATGACTTCGTTAAACTCGCAAACGCAAACTGCAAACTTGTATTTCCACCAACAAATAGTCGGACGGAGAGAGCCGAGCGTGTAGAAAGAGTAGAAATGAACTCGCTCAGTTCTAGGGAGCGTAGCGGAGTACTTACGGACTCCGTTCAACTCACAATTACAATTTACATAGTACCTAGGGTTTCCACATAGAAAGTGGTGAGCGGGGCGGATTGAACGAGTAAAAAGAAATTGAAAAGAGTCCGCTGCGCAAGGCCTGCATCGGCTAGTTCAGAACGGACTCGCTCGCTGTCTGCCCCCGCGCTTCTCGCCTCCCGAGCTACGTGCCAGTTGGCGCTCGCATCACCGCATTTTTGTTTGTTATGGCAGTCGAGTAATACGTGTTGTTAATAATAATTCTTAAATTTTTCGTCGTCTAAATCATAAAACAGCCTAATTCCCTTTTTAATTTACGTTCTTGAATATGCTGGCACAGCCAAAATCTTCGTTTAGCGCGTTTTTTTTCGTTGCATAAGATACAACAATACGTGTTTCATTTTTCTGTATACATAATTACTGTCATCAGTTGATTCTGTGTCACTCGATAACATCGCAACAACACGACTACACGCAATCAGCTCAAATTCCCCTATACTTATTGTACTCTTTGAAAACTTCGTGAAAACTTCAACTGACTGAACTCGTTCCCTGTGGAAATTATCTATTCGTTTTTCATTTCTCATTTTCCGTTCAGCTCAGTCCGCTCATTTCTCTAGCTCAGTTTCATTTTGCAGTGGAAATCAAATGACCAACTCTTCGTTGGTGGAAACACAAACCTATTTCATTTAAAAGGAGTCCGTTCCGCCTAACCATTTTCCGCACATTATTCTTTTGCAGTGGAAACCGGGCTAAGGCACGAATGTCCTGCGACACGTGTCACCAGCGACATTGGGTGGAGTAGCCCGACGTTGCCGGACTTTGATCGACATGTCTGACAACATCAACGTCGCTGTTGACATAAGACGCGCGTTGTCGCTTGTCGCCTTATAAGAAGTCGGGCGAAGTCGTGGAACATTTGTCCCCTCGTGTATCCTTGGCATTATTTATTCGACTATAAAGATACAGTGTGTTATAAAAATGCAACAAATAAGTACTTTACCAATATTTACATAACACTATTAACCAGTTCAGTTTTTAACAATTTATTTAGTTATATTATGTATTACAATTAATAAATACAATTTCGTCAACAACTTTAGCAAAGGGATTATTTTAATAATTTTAGATAACAGTCAAAAGCATTATTTATTTATTTATATTGAAGAATGTCAAGGAACATCAATAATTCTGAATAATTCAGATTAACTACATTTTTTCTTTTGAAAGGAATCAGTTTAAATTAGAATAAATCAAAGGATGACGGGCAGAATGTACCTATCGACAATACCTCTAGTCATGAAGAGCTAACGACATACGTCTGGTCGTTATAAGTCGGTAGGTACGTCTCCCATCCATGTTTGCCCTTTATTGTTACATTTTTCAGTCTCATTGTGTTCGATAAGGAAAACAATATTTTTGCAAGTTAACTAAAAATATTGGTACCTTATTTATTCATTTATAACGGTTTATTCACGTAAACATACTATACGAAAATCTACTAGTAGGCTCAGTAGGCAGCGCCACGTAGCCGCTCTGGTCATGAGAAAGAGTGCCTCTGTGACTCGAAACAAATAGAGCTTTTCTCAGTATAATAGGCGTGTCGACAGGGTAAAAAAATCAAAAAAGTAATTAGTCCGTCATTAAGATCGCACAAAAATATAAGACACGTATTTTTTATTTTATCAAATTAACAGAAGAATACGTAGTTATTCCGCATTAAAGTTAGGGAGTGGGGGGTGTTGACGTCACACTTACGGAGAAATCGTAGCTAATTGTGACGTCACGCGTCATTTTAACTCAAAATATCTACATGTTTTTTTGGATACGAGAAAAAGAAAAAATACGTATCGAAGATTTTTAAAATATCTAAAAGACGGACAAAAAATCAAAAAATAGTCGCCATGCCTATTACGTGAGTAAGCCGCCATTTTTAGTTAACCAACATATCTCACGATAGTTATTATAATCTATTTTACAAGTGTCAACAGTCAATATATTATTGTGAAAAAAGACAAGTGCTAAAATTACAAAAAATATTAATGAAACTAACCTCAATTTCCAGACATGTGATAATTTAATCTATTTATAAGCAATAGGCGTTTTAAAAATATATTTATTTCAGGTAATAGGGATGTTTCCTAGCCCTAATTAACTATAGGTACACAGAAACAGTTAACTATAAAGAAAATTAAACGAGATTCCACATTCTGACGTCAGTGTGATAATTTTAGGATTAAACTAATCAGTAACCTCTAGTAAATTTAAAGAAACCTCTACAGATGTCTTTTACCAACATTTTTGATTTCCACCAATTTATAATTAGAATGATGACAGGGTGAAGGTATTGATAAAATATTAGACACGTATTTTTTTATTTTGGCGTATAATAAAACAATACTTAGATAAAACGAATCAAAGTTTAGGAGTAGGGGCTAAAACGTCATTTCTACGTATAAAATGTACATAGAAGTGACGTCACGTGACATTTCGAATCAATACATCGTCGAAAGTATTCGTTTCTGTAAAAAAATAAAAAATACGTGTCTAATGATTTAAAATAATCTATCAGACGGACATTAAAATAAAAATTAGACATCTACCCTATTGACACCTTTTTTTAAGATTTGATGGGCCGACGTTTGACCACTATCCCGCCTGGTTAAGCGATGATACAGTAATCTGTACAACCTATTAAGGTTGGTTTACTGGAGCCGACCAATCAGAGTGCCGAACGCGCTCAATACTATTACGTTACGAATGCGATAGTTCTTCGTGTTAGCACTCAGTACAAAGAATTCGTTTAGGGAGTACCTCAAGCTAAGCAACTCTTAGAGAAGCTAAAAACTGTAATTAGCATATTTACTTACGAAACTGTGATAATTTTAAGACATTGCCGGCATTAAATTGACTGAGAAAACATCCCAATAAGAAAACATACTCACCCACCTTTACTTAGAAAAACAGAAACATTAAAACTAAACTAAATCAGTCCATCGTCAGCTCAATCATCGTCATAATCTGTGTCATCATCATCGTCATCTGATATCTCCATGTTTCTGGTGGAATTGGCCATGTGGGTCGGTTTCCTGGCTCGTTCTAAAGAGAAGGCATATGCTTCATAGTCTAACACTTCATCATCGCTTAAATGAGAATTGCCTTCGACGAAGCTCGCGAACCTGGAAGACAAAATTGGTGTTTAGGATCGAAATGTACATGACGAGCTTGTGGTTCTTTTATAGATTATCAACTTTATTGCTTTGGTAATCTACCTATCTATCACTACATAGTATAAAACAAAGTCGTTATCCGCCGTCTGTCTGTCCCTATGTATGCTTAGATCTTTAAAACCACGCAACGAATTTTGATGCGGTTTTTTATTAGATAGAGTGATTCTTAAACTGTCAAACACCAAGCGGTCACAGGTGACCGCAACCTATTGTTCTATAATTGTGTCTACAAAACCGGTACTCGACGAGTTAAGGAAGGTTTATATGTATAAAACATGCATATTGTACCCGTGCAAAGCCGGGGCGGAGCGCTAGTCTATACATATAAAAATGAAACCCGTTTCCCGTTGCCACGCCAACTTGAGAACGGCTAGACCGATTCGGCTGATTTTTTTTTTGTTGTGTTTGTTATCGTCAGGAGAAGGTTCTTATGACAGAAAAATGCCCTGAAAATCCTACGGGAATAGGACAAACAGGATTGTGCGTACGAAGTCGCGGGCAGAAGCTAGTAGAATTTAAAATTGGTTTCAAATGGTAGTAAGCGATCATTTCCTATGTCTACCTGGCACGTTAAACATTACCTTCCTGAAAACTCATAGACGAAATTGATTCAGGAGACAAATCATCTCCTTTTTATTTAAAAAATAATAATAATTCTATCTTTGAAGATTTTAGCACATGGTTATGCATGCCAAAGTTGACAAAGAGTACTGATAACTCAGAAAACTAAACTTAACTCGTCGAGTACCGGTTTTGTAGACACAATTATAGAACAATAGGTTGCGGTCACCGGTGACCGCTTGGTGTTTGACAGTTTAAACAACTATTTTGATCCTAAATTCTCACTGACCTCTTAGAATCGTTCAACTTGAGCATAATCTTCCACTGCGCACAGTCGGGACTGGAGCAATACTTCCTGAGGTTTTCCAGCGCCATCTTGGTTTCGCGCGCACCTTGTTCATAGTACTCTTCGCTCGATAGCAACTTCTGTTTTGGCGGGAACTTGCGACGCCTGTCAAAAAAATAGACGATATTTTAACATAAACATAACTAAGATTCCTGTTAAACTAATATGCTATAATAAGCGACATACTTTTTATGACAAAGACAATTAAATAGATCGGACTAACTTACCTGTGACGTCCGATCCTCAATTGTGTAGGTAGCGTCATCCTCGCTAATTATACTAGTAGTAGGCACTAATCTGGGCACGCTGTCACAATATTTAAAGATGAACACATTCATAAAAAAAAATATTTATACTCTATGGTCAATGGTCATCTCACTGGCAACATCATTTACTTCAAAGCACCTGCAACTGCAACACAACTCGACCAGGGGTAAAAATAAACATGTTTATTATCCGGGAAGGGTTGGGACCTAGCGAGGATGACGCTACCTACACAATTGAGGATCGGACGTCACAGGTAAGTTAGTCCGATCTATTTAATTGTATAGGTAGCGTCATCCTCGCTAATTATACTAGTAGACGTTCAAAGAAGGAGTTGTGTTGACAAACAACACTGTTTAATCATTGAACATTGTTGCACTTAAACAAGATATATGACATTGTCAATAACATCAATATCTCACGAGTACTATATAGTACTAGTAAAAACTTAAGCAATAATCAAATTACGTTTATAATTTCCCCAAGATGTAAGCCACTAAACCATTATTAGATATAATAGCTACTTATGGTTATGGTATTGTTTTCAATCATTTTTATCAAATAAAAATACTTATAAAATTAAATACATTTTAAAAATAGTATTAAAAATAAACAGAAGCCCAAAGCACGGGTTATCTTAGTTTGGGTTCCTGACTTTCATCATTGTATTGTCAGGTAAACTGCATTAACCCTATGTAGAACCAAAGTGAAGTGAAGAGAAGAAACAAGCTTATGTCAATATTATAAGATTAATATTAAGATCTACATCATTATGTATTGTGATGGAAAAATAATTAAATGTCCTTATTTATTAATTTAATTATTTAGTAAGCATAGCAACAATATTATTATCTTGAAATTCTGGTGTCCACTACACCAACTATAGGTACACCTACTATGTACGTTTTGAACTATAACGTTGTTCAAATTCAGTCTATTGCGAAAATTTAACGTCTTTCAATAGGTTGTTTTCTTCAAAATTATCAGTTTCTTTTTTTTTTTTTTTT